AAATGAGCGGTAGACTCTCACCAACTGCCGTCCAGCATCCAGAGGTCGCCACGGCCTGCCAGGACATCTAAGGCCTCCAGGGTCAGCAGGTCCGTCACTCCGAACGTCCAGGAACGGGTTACTACCGGTCAGCAGCAGCAGGTGCCCCTCCGAAAGGGCAGGCGCAGCCAGGACTGTCGCCTTCCCGGGGCGGCTTGGTCTCCGGGAGGGAATGCTTCTCGACCGTGGGCCAGCAGATGAAAGTGTTTCAGTAATTAAGCTGATAAGAACAGTATTTTATTGATACTCAGTACACACATCATAAATGGTTACAAAACATAACAAAAAAAACGGCAATAAAAAGTGTATAAATAAAAACAAGTAACAAAAAGGCTAAAAAGTGTTAGTAGTTTTAGTAAGGATAAAAATTTATAACATAAAAACGCGATATCGCTTCCCGATTAAAAGAACTATTTACAAAACGCCTGTATGGCTACGGTATATCATCGAAGAGGCGGCGATCATGTCTCAAACGCAAAGTCTCTTCATTGTCCGCTGGTAGCTCTTGGAGCAAAACCTGCGGCAGACACGATCGTTGGCCGGATCCCACGAGTCGAGACAGCCAACGACGATGGCGTCGACGGAGATGCGCTGGAACCGCTGGAGGAGATGACGCTGTAGAGGAGCGTACTTCTCCTCCTTGACTTCCCGAGCCTCCTGGAACGCCTGCATTCGGTTGTCGGAAGGACAGCAGACGTCCAGGATCAGGGCTTCCTCACCACGGGCCAGGACGAGGTCGGGTTACAAGCCGGGGACGCTGACCTGCTGATTCTCTCCGATGACAGTGAACCGCTCCAGGCCGCCTTCTTGAGGCGCGCAACGATGGCGTGGTGGCGCTCCGTCATGGCCTTGCTCTGCCGCATGCAGTGGCAGAGAACGTGCGGCAGGGTCTTCTCCCCGTACCCGCAGCGTCGGCACCTTTTGTCAGCTGCGGGCACCCATGTTCTTGGGCCGTTCAGGGGGAGGAGATTCAGCCGGGCTCGGTGGATGAAGCGCCACTCCTTGAAGCGAGTGTAGCGGCCGGACCTCATGAAGCGGAAACTGGCGGGTTCCGCCGCTATACACGCCATCGCCTTGCCTTGGGACGGCTTCTCCTAAAGAGAACGGTCCCGGTCCCGGTTGAGGATGGCCCGAAGGATCTTGATGAGCTTGTTGCGGTTCTGCGCAGACACCGTAGCCTCTCCGCAGGTGATGCGGGCGCCCTGGTCCAGAAGCTCCCAGGCGACGGACGAGCGACGGGAGGTCTAGCGTGCCTCCGTCCAGACAGACTGCAGCTGGGTCGCAGTCTGCCAGAAGTCCCTCTCCATTTCGCCTGAGAGGTAGGCCTCAGTGTCGTCCGTGTCCGCCGGTCGCCTCAGCCGCCTGGACACCACCCGGTAGAGCTCCTCCCTCGCTCGCTTCGGACCTCCAGGATGGTCGACGGCAGGAGCTTGAAGGCCCCGTGCACTCGGCAGATGTCGCTGAGCTCTGCCGCAAGAAGGATCCCTGGAGTGCTGGCATGTGCGGTCCCGTACACATACTCGTTTGACGCTCTTGCCAGCACGTACAGGGTCTTCTTAATCAGCGGGCGAAGCTCCTCGTCCAGACGGTGCCACTCTCCTTTACTGGCAAGGCCCACCCGCATATCGAAGTTGAGGGCTGGATACAAAAAGGTTTTAATAGAATCCAGCCTCTGCCATGTTATGAGCGTGGAAGAGAGCAGCCGTCTGCTGAGATGGATGGCCTCGTCGACCGTCGTCTGGTCCGGTAGTACCCGAAACCCCACAGGACGCCCCAGAATTCGGTGCCCTTCGAAGTCCGCCAGTGCCGGGACCGGGACGATTTCCACGGTGAAAGTGGTGGGCCGTGTGCCCACCGGGTAGCGCCCAGACAGGTGGAGGGTGCGGCACTTGGCAGGCTTCAGTCGCAGCCTGAGCAGGTCCGAAAGGGCCGTCACCACGTTGAGGCGGCGCTGCAAGGTGGCGGGATCCCCGGCGAACAGCGTCAGATCATCGGCGTTGGCAAGGATGTTGTGTTGCCTATCGCGTCCGTGCACCGCTCTGATGATGGGGTCCACCACCAGGTTGATCAGCAGGCTGCTCAGGGGACAGCTCGGCGAAGGCCCGCTCCTAAGGCGATGGACTCCGTGGTCAAAAGGCCGAGAAGCGAACGATTTAATTGCACGTAATTAAAGTCCATTCTTTCACACCTCGTATTTAGTTCTGGCCATAAGCCGGGCAAACAGTAGCAAAGCGAATTCCGACATCCACCCATGCAAAACCAGAATTGTGCACCGACAGTGGCAGCGCTGGCTTCACTGCATTGCGTTTCTCTCTAGTCCGCTTGAAACTTTTGGTTTCGCTTACAAACATGTTAAAACTGAAACCTTCTTTTTCCCAGAAGTCGAAGCCACGCGTGCTTGCTTGCAAGCATACTTTCGATGGCGCCCATGACGTCACACGAAATGCTTGCCAGCAAACATTATCAGGCATGTCGCGAGAGATGCTCCAGCACTTGTTTTAAAAACGGATGCAATGTGTACATGTCCAACTCGAGCACCAAAGCCTAGATGGAAAAAATGACTGTGCAAAATGTGACTACATCACCCATCCAACATGGCTTCTACGCTGGCTGCCCAAGCAACGCCTGTGCAACGACGCCCACAATCATCGGCAAATAGGTGGTGCCTTTGGCTGCTTCAGCGCGCTCAACGTATTCCTTGCAAGTTCCGACGCGGCGGAACACCGCACTGAAGTCGAGGAAGGTCCTGCTGTGAAAGGCAGACCCGGGAATGCGTGCAAACCGTCTGCTACAGCGTGCGTTTTGATGCCGGTGAATGAAGGGTCATGTGGCAGAGGGTGACGGAACGTGAGTGGGCGACATGCCGCTGCGATGTCGTCCAAGCGTTCAACGCGCCGGCAGGCTCTGCCTGCCGTGGTCGAAAACGTCCAAGGTTTGCTGATTCCGAGGGGTAGGAGTGCTATGGTGGCGTGTACGAGGCGTTGGCGCGGCGCTCCGTCGATCGTGCCGGACATTGGGCGGCAGAAGGCGGTCGTCAAGTGGTTGCGGAAATCAATGGAGAAGTACTCGCCGGCGCTTTTCGTCGGATTCCGCTGAGCAAGGTGCGAGAAGACTCGCGACAGACGGTCTTCGGGAGACGCGTGGTTGCACAAGTGCGACCACGCGTCAACGTGCAGCCATATTCGTGGATCATTTCGCCCCACTTCGATAGCTTCGTCACTGCACTCGTTGGTGTTGCTTGTTTTTGTTGACCTTCACTTGTGGCTCACACCTAGTGTGAGGGATTGGCTGGTTTGTTGTTCTGCTTCTTCGACTTCTACATATTCTTTAGTGAAGCTGTGAGGAGTGATGAGTGGGTACATAGGCAAAGCCCAGCAAAGCGCGCCCGGGGCGTGATCTCGTGCGTCCTGGTTTCCACAGCGCTTCGGGTACGTACGTGGTGCGTCCGTACGTCTAGTGCGCAATTTTCTTGGAGCTTCCAGCAACTGGCAGTTCGATTTAGCTGAGCGTACGAGGATGTTTGTCGTAACTACCGAGAGCCAACGGCGGATGAGCTGGTATGAGATGGTGTCCAGAATTGTAGTGTGTGATCAACAAGGCGATGCCAGCCGTGGTGGTCTAGTGGCTATATGGTACTCGGCTGCTGACCCGCATGTGGTGGGATTGAATCCCGCTGCAAAGGCTGCATTTTCGTTTGCTCAGATTAGGGTGCACGTTAAAGAACCCCTGGTGGTCGAAATTTCCGGAGCCCTCCATTACGGCGTCTCTCATAATCATATGGTGGTTTTTGAATGTGAAACCGCACATATCATCATATCTTCATCAACAATGCGATGGCTGAGGGCGCCAGTGAGGTAGCTGACCACGTGGCAACGAATTACAGCTACCGCTGAAACTCAAAGCTGGAGCCCAGGTCAGTGGACACAGGAAAAGCACATCGGGGCTCTGCCGCTCCACCGTACTGCAGGTGTGTGCGTGGTGGGTCCTGTGGCGTTCTTTGCGATTTTAATTTGTGATGGGGAATAGTGCAGATGCGTAGACGTGGCGAGAGCACGCGTCTTCATGTTAAGACGTCGCGTGAAGATGTGAAATAAAAATGCCTTCGCTTGTCGCTGCAGCTGTAAACAGAAACATCAACACCCATTTTCTAGAAGCTGTTTTGTTTTCATTCCGAAATGGGTGAATCCGAAAGGCGGAAATAGCTTGGCACTAACACACTTTTAGCTTTTCTCTGAAACAGTAATCATAAATTACTCAGTAGATTCAATAACATGAGTAGGGATGTAAAAAAAAACTTGGAGTATGACATTTATTTTCCCAGAGCAATCTTAAGTGTGAATAAACACAGCTAGCGCACACCCCACATGCGAATACCGAGCTGCCGCGAATACCGCGTCAGCCGGGGTGGCGTGATGCCAACGTGTCAGACACTCGCCGCACCCACGCCGTTTACCATGATATCCTTGGTAAATCCGAACACTCTTTCATTGAGTTAATGTCGAACTCACCCCTGCGGGGGTGAGTGGGCTGATCCCGGAGGTAGTGCAATACCGGGCCAACCCGTGGCGAAGGTGAAGCAAGCTTCAAGCACTCTGCCGCATCACAATAAGTGTAATATCTTGGATCCAAATAGGATCCGTATCATATATTAAGCTGATAAGAACAGAGTGTATCTTTATTATGCTATTGACAAGAGATGGAAGGTCTTGAGTCTGTATTATGCTATTGACAAGAGATGGAAGGTCTTGAGTCTGCCATAGACATTGTTGTGAGCCTGTACGTAGCACCGGGATAGTCAGATGGAGTCCGGACACGGGTGGTAGCACTTGGGACACCAGGACATTGGATGGCTTGGACATCGCAGGAACCACCGGAACAGCAGCGGGCGGACCAGGATTCTCGGCAGGCGCCAGGCGAAGTGGCGACGTGGTAGGGCATGTCTTGTATGGGTCAGCCGTCGTCTAGCTGCGTCCATGTCCCACGTGCGCGTGGTAGATGGCGCGGGACGCTGCCACCACCTCGCTCACGCAGAGTTTCTTCATGAGACGCAGGTAGCTGCGGGAGCACAGGCACAGGAGGACGCGGTTGTTGGCCGGGTCCCAAGCGCCGAGAGCCCCGACGATGGCGGCGGCCACAGTAACTTTCTGATAGCGGCGACGCAGGTAGTCGGTGACGGGTTGGTAGCGTGCGAGCTTGTCGTTTGGGGTGTTGGTAAAGGCCTCCGGTGTGTTCTCGAACGGGCAAGCCACGTCAATCACCAGGGCCTCCTCCCCGCGAACCAGGACAAGATCGGGACGCAATCCAGTGTCGCCAACTGGCCGTTTCTCGAACGCTACAGTGTAGTCGTGGGCAGCAGCCGTGCGAAGGGGCGAGACCACCGCGTTGTGCCGCGACAGGGAAATGGCGCTATGCATCATGCAGTGGCATAGCACGTGTGGTAGCGTCTCCCTTGCGTAGCCGCAGACCCTGCAGCGCTGGTCTCGGTCAGGTGGGCCCCACATGACGGTGCCGTTCAGTGGTGCAGGTTGAGGCGCGCCCGGTGGATAAACCGCCAGTCGGCGAAGTGCGTGAATGCTTCCGTGGTGTAGTGGGAGCTCGCACGATCCGCCGACACGCATGCCATCACCTTCCCCTGGTTTGGTTGGTCGGAGGGCGTTGTCCCAGACGTGGGCCAGCACGTCGCGTAGCGTTTGCATGACCCGGTTTCTTTGTGTGGGCAGAAGGGTTGCGCTGCCGAGGTGACGGTGACGTGGTCCGGTCGCAGGGACCACGAAACTTGTAACCGTCGGGACGCCTTACGGGCCTCGGTCCACACGCTGCGCAGCTGGGTTGCGGGATGAGTGGACTACCTGTAGATCGCCAGAGAGGTACGCCTCCAGCTCGGACCGGGGGATCTCCCATCCGAGACGAGTGGAGGCGAGCTCGTATGCGTCAGACAGGGCGAGTTCCCGTAGCGACTTGTCCGAAGTCGTGAGGAGCTTAAAAGCGGAGTCGATACGGCAGATGTCGTACAACTCCGCTGCCACCGGGATCGCTATAGCTCCTCCGGAGGCACTCCCGTAGACATAGTTGGTTGAGGCGTTAACCGGCAGGTAGAGAGTTCACTTGACCATGGGCCTGATGGCGAGGTCCCAGCGGTGCCAGTCAGATTTTGTCAAGACGCCGCACCTCATGGAGAAGTTCAGGGTGGGGAACATGAATGTCTTGAGGGCGCCAATACGCTGCCAGGGAGCTAATAGGGAGGAGAAAATAGCCGTGGCATTGCGAATGGTGTCGTCAATGACATTGGTCCCCACTCGATGTAGAAGGCGGAAACCCACCGAGCGTCCGAGGTAGCGGAGCGGCTCGGAGTCGCTCAAAGCAGCGACCGGGACGCCGGAGACCTGGAAGACGGTTGGCCGCATTCCGACTGGGGTGACGCCACTGAGGTGCAGGGTCGTACACTTGCTCGGGTTAAGGGATTGCCCGAGCGGTGTTGCCAGCGTCTCGACCATGTCGATGCGTTGTTGGAGGACGGCAGGACAGTCGGACAGGGGCGTCAGGTCGTCGGCATAGGCGAGGATGTTGTGGTCGTCGCCTGTGCCTTGGACGCCTCGAACCACAGGGTCTATGACCAGGTTGAAGAGCAACCCGCTGAGTGGGCAGCCCTGGCGTAGACCCTTGCGGATGACGACCGGTTCTGTTGTGCCCTTTGCAGCAACGATGACGGTCTGGTTGTTTAGGTAAAGGTCCTCGATGAGGGCGGTGAACGTCTCTCCGGCACCGGAACCACGGAGGGCGTCCAAGAGGGCCTGGTGAGGCACGGACCCGAAGGCGTTTGCGAAGTCCAGAAGAGCTGCGCAAAACTTCGTACCATCGGCTCTGGCTGCGTCCATGCGGTGTTGGAAGAGGTAGTTCAGTTCGAAGATGCCGTCATATAGGAGAAAGCCTTTCTGGCACTTTGACAAGACTTGGTGATCCATGATCCAGGCTTGCAGGTGCGATGCAAGGCACTTGGTGTACAGCTTGGAGGCAGTACAGCCGAGTGCAATCGGTCGCCAGTTGCCCGAGACAGAGGGATCACCTTTCTTGTAAATCGGGACCAGCACGCGACGTTCGCCATGAGTCCAGGGTGCGACGGTGGTGAATGCAGGCATTGAACCGAGCAGACAGGAAGCGGGCCTCCGGGTCGACGGACCTCCAGTGGTGGTAGGTCAAGTCTGTCGGGACCGGAGCCGTGTTCTCCGACTTCCGGAGATAGGAGGAGAACCTCGTCTGCCGAGAACGACGCCGTGTTGACCGGAACAGAAGCCGCGGGTCGTTGGAAAAGCGCTGACGGTTCCACCATTCGAGGTGACCAGGTGGAGGCTCAATGGTCCTGGACTGTCACGTATGGGAATGGTGCAGGATCGTGTGGGTCCCTCCATGATCAGGCGCACGGAACGTCGGCGGTTCCTACGATAGAGACGCTGGATTTGCGTCGCATTATCTGGATTGACGTCTCGAGCAGGGCGTCCCGGTGTTGACGGTGGGAGGCGGACAGCCTCCGTGGCCAGAGCAATAGCCTGAGAACACGCCTGCTCACACGTCGCCCTGGAGTCTGGTGTCGGGGCTGATCGGAGTGTGGCTCGTAAGACGCGGACCTGCTCCGCAAGCAGCATGGTGTGGTCCGGTGGCATGTCCATAGTCCGTGCTTCGAAAGGAGTGTCATGTGCGCCGTTGTCGACATCATCCGCACCAGTGTGCTCCAGCCGCTCGGAAAGGGAAGGGGATGAGGAAGAGTTTGATCTGGCTGACGAAGGACGGTGGTCGATGACGGTGCCGGCAGCTGGGACATTCTCTTCGTCCACCGGCTCGTTGGCCGATGCGTCGTCGGAGTCGTCGGCACCGGGGACGTCGGCCAGCTTCGTGGACATCCGTGGGGAAGCCCTCGAAGCAGATGACGCGGAGCCGGGACCGGTGTGATGACGAGAAGACGAGCCGGGCGCGGACGAAACCTCGCCAGTCGTGGATGGGGGACCAGGATCTGGTGGCACGGACGGTGGCGTTCCGGGAACCGAAGGCGACTGCCGAGGCGTGGAAGAACCGGAGCCGGAAGTGGCTGAAGAATGGCCAAGCATGGTAGACGCCCCGGAGCTTGATGCCGACGGAGAACCAGTAGCCGAAGTGCTGGAGACCGACCCGGTACTAGAGGATGGCGTCGTTGTGGAACACTTTCCTCCACGATGTCTTCGAGATGGGGAAACGGTTGCTCGGGTCTGTAGTTCTGGTGAGACTCGGCAAGCTGTACCCGAATGAGCTGGACCGGGAGATGGTGGGGTCTTTGTACCGGAAGAACTGGAGGCAGTCGCCGTAGGCTGCCGTGGGTTGCGAAGAGATACATAGGCGAAGGATTCCTCTCTCGCATGCCATGCCATGGTATGCCGGGTCAAGGAGCGCTCGCATTTGAAGTAACACGGACAGTACCGGCAGGGGTGGAAGGGCTCGTTCTTGGCAGGACCCGGGCAGTCATGGCGGGCGCACAGCGAAGTCAACCAGGCATCACAGGCGACGCACCGGTAGAGACGCCTCGTTGGCCGAAGCCCGTGTTTTCGCTCCATGTGGGGCCGCCACGCGGACAGTCGGAGCGAAACTGATGTGCGGGCTTGGCAACCCGCAACCAAGATAAGGGCAACGCAACCGGGCCCCGCAACCGAGGCCCCGCGACGGAGGGCCCCGCAACCGAGATAAGGGCAACGCAGCATCCTGGGCACCGGCAGGTACACCTGTCATGATGCCCTTGTGAACGGCGGGTGGTCGAGAGCGAGAAGGGACCTGACGCTGCCGCAGAAACGCCAGTAGACGCAGGGGTGCCAAGACGAGGCCGGCTGGGCCAGTGGCGGCGCCGGGGTGCTTAACCCCGAAAGGGCAAGTGGGACGTCGCCGATGGCGACCGGAACCCGGGACGAGCGGCTCGATGGACACGGCAGGTGGCCGGCGGGGTGTAGGCAGGCAGGGACTCCTTCAGGTGGCAGGACCTCGTAGACGAACGTCCGGGCAGGAAGACCCGGACGACGGCGACGACGGCGGCAAAGTGGTCTTGATGACCGGGGTCCGTTGGTGTCACCAGCGGGCATTGGTGACCGGACCAGGAGCGGCAGGCAAGAAAAGGCTTGTAGACTTATACTTTTCCAGATCAGGATTGCATGCACCAGATTACATAACACAGGACACAACCAGGGCTTCACGTCATAAACATAGTCGTAGCATTACACCTATATTTGCACGCACTAACATTTACAAGTATTCATTTTTCCCGAGAACTGTCTCTGATTGGAATGCTCTGCCCCATGATTCCCCTATGCTCGACACGCCGAGATGATACTATACCCTTTTCTTGTCGCTTAAGTCTGCTTTTTTGCCTGTATTTGTCCCTTGTTTTTCACGAATTTTTAATGTACATGAATTTTGTTCTGCAGTGAATGTATACTGCAGCGGAAGTGTATGTATGTAGAAGAATTTTGAACTGTATTGCCCTCTCCTGCATGGACCATACTTGGTCCGCTGTATGTGATAAAAAAAAGACTCTCACCGCTCCCGGAGGGCGTCTTCTCCCGCTGGCTGGACTGGAACGCTTCGTCTGTAGATTTCCACGTTCCCGTGGCTTGATGTCCGGGCCGGTAGGCTCGGATGACGATGGCGGCGAGGTGGTCACAAGGACCGAGGCCCGTAAATGTCGCCAGCAGGCATTGATGACTGGGTCGGGAGTGGCAGGCGAGAAAAGGCTTGTAGACTCTTACCACTCCCGGAGGACGTCTGCTCCCGCTGGTGGGCTCGCCGAGTCGGTAGATGGCCGTAGACTCCTTCAATGATACAGCAGGGCCGAGGAACCAGGTGGACCCTGGTGCAGCGTTTATCCGTGCGACCAGGAGCAGGGGGACCTTCCAGGGCGGCTGGCTTCCCGGGAGGAACCGTTTCTCGTCTTTTGGCTATAAAGATATGAAGTGGGAGAGCCACGTGCACTTTGATCTTAGCCAAAAGGCCGAGAAGCGATACTTGCTTTTCAACTGACAATCGGACATCTATAAAAGCTTAACCTTGAGCAATATTGGTGGGCGCTGCGGATGAGGTTGGCCGTTTGCTGCTGTTTAAGGTATCATTAGGGCAGACAGACAAATGTAGAGACAGACAGTCAGACAGACAGACCAAAATTTTTCCGTCGAAGGTCCCCAAGAAAAACTACCGCCTTTAAAAGCAGCAATCCCATATGGAGAAGGCTCTGAATGCGAACAAGAAATTAGAAAGGGACTCACCCGCCGAAAAACTAAAACGTGAAGCCACACAGGGCTTCCAACGAAGAAAGCGACGCGGTCCACCTCCTATACCAAAAGAGATTATTCTGAGGCCGCATAAGTGTCTCTGGGTTAAAAATATATTAGGACTGGTACTCTCCAGGGCTGTGATAGATGCCTGCCAACGAAATTTCAATGGCAATGACTTTCTTGTGCGGGTTCACCCAGGGTCGAGCATTGTAATCCTATCTACGCCAAGCATGAAGGTAGCGAGTACGCTGCGATGTGTCAGTCGATTAAAGATCAGGAGACAAATCAACGCTTTCAATGCATACGTGGCCGACCCCGAAGGCGTCTTGCGGAGAATTGTACATGGAATACTGGCCGGGACTTAGCAAGATGAACTAATGGAGAACTTACGTGTTCGGACTCAAGGTGTGAATATT